AGCCAGCAGCTCCCGCCCCCCCTTCCCCCGCCTCCCCCCGCCCGTGCTCCCTGCCCTGCCTCGCGCCCTGCCCGGCGCCCTGGCCCCGCCCCCTGGCCCCCTGCCGCCGCCAGCCCCACATGCCGTTCACGCGTGCCACCCCTGCGCCCCTCCCTGCCGCCGCAGGCGACGTGCCCGTGCGCGGCGAGATGCGCCCGCTGGTGGCGCCCGCAGACTGCCCGCAGCCGGTGGTTGACCTGTACGAGCGGTGCATCGCGGAGCAGCCGGAGCAGCGGCCCACCGCCGAGGAGCTGCTGGAGGTGCTCGGCTCGCTTCTGTAGCGGGGCCTGCGCGGCTGTTGCTGGTGGCTGTTGCTGCCGCCGCGGCGGCGAGCGGCGGCTGCCTCGGCTGCTGCTCTGCGCCTCCCCTGGCCCGCCCTTGGGCCCCCTTGCCGGCCCGGCCTTGCTCGGCGCCGTTGTTTTATCCCCCGCCGCCGCCGCCTCTGGCCCCAGCCTGCCCGGCCGCGGCGAGCTGCTGGCACCCAGCGTGCCCCGCCACGCGCCCCGCCGCCGGCTGGCTCCCCTTGGCGAGGCCCGCAGCTTCTGCCTCTTGTCCCGCATGCCTCCTTCCTTCCCCACTTCCCCCTTGCCCACCCCACCCATCACCTTCAATGATAAAGCATGCCCTGCCTGCTCCTCTTGCAGCCCCGACAAACGCATGAGCCGTCGGGTCTGATTCCCTGTTGCGTCCCTGAATTCTCTCTCTTTCGTTTCGAGATGTCTGACACCGCTGTTTTCTCCTTGCCTCTGACAGGCCCCTGCAACGCTCGGCCTGCGCATTGGCAGTGCACCGCCGGAGAGCCGCCCAGGTTTTGGAGGGTTTGAGGGGGGGGTGGGCGGGCGGGCAGGCGGACGGGGCGGGCGGCGCCGGGCAAGCCCCACCACAGGCACGCTGATGCCTTCCCCATCCCATGCTCGGATTCCTGCTCGATGCATGCGACGCTGGGGATGCCCTGACGTGCGGGTTGGAGGCCTAGTTTTGAGGGCAGGGCCCAGCTTCCTGAGGGGGTGTGCACGTGGCACCTGCTGAAAAGCCAGAACCTGCGACAGCAAAGAGGCTGTAGTTCGAAAATCAACCACACTTCAATTGAGTCGTCCTCCTCCTGTGCCCCACCACCCAGCGGCGGCAGTTCCGTCCAGTTCCCGTGAGTGCTCCCTCCCGTGAGTGTTTGCTGTGTCAACCGCACGCCATCAAGCTGTTATTGTGGTGGCTTGGGCCGCGGTCCTAGGCGCGTTGGCCCAGTGCGCACGCTGCGCAAAGAGGCGACACCTCAACGTGGGGCGTGTCCCTGATCTCAGCGGCCCTGTCGCTGCGTTCGCGTTCCCATTGAACCCGTTATCGCGTGCGGTCGGGTGCAGGCCGGCCACCCAGCGACCTGCCCCATTGGGCGAGTCATATGCGCAGCTGCTGGGCCGTCCTACAGGCCCTGGCGTTGATAGTGGTAGCAGCAGAGCGCGGCCCAGGTGGGTGCGGGCGCCTGAGGACTCGTCCCCGCCCACCGGCTGCCGCGCTGGCGGGACCCACCTTACCCGGCAGCCTCCTGCGGCTGCTGGGCCACCTTCAATTACCCCCCCACGCACTCTGCCCCGGCCTGCCGCAGGTGCGGCAGCGTCGGCGGGCGCAGCGGCTGCGCGGCGGCCGCTGGCGGGTGCCGGTCGCAGCCGCCGCGCGCTGCTGGGCGCCGGCAGCGTCGGGGCGCCCGCGCCGGCCTCCGCTCCCGTGGCGCGCAACCACACATTCGCACATGCGCACACGGATGCGGATGCGGAGCAGCTGCTTGGCACCATCATCGAGACACTCGTGGATCAAAGTGAGCAGCAGCAGCAGCAGCAGCAGCGGCGGCGGCAGCGGCGGCAGCTCCACGCAGCCCCGCAGGCGGGGCCGCCCTACCTGGCTGCGCCTCGGCAGCCGAGGCAGCGGCAGCTGAGGCAGCTGCCCGCGTGTGTGGCGCTGCCTGCACGCGCCTGTACCAGCCGGCACCTGCCCACCCGGGCGCCTCCCGCGGCCCACCCCCGCCCCACGCTCGATCCGACCCACCCCAGCCTGCCCTCCTCTCCCTCCCTGGCGCTGCAGAGTGCTCAATGATGAGCCACGCCCTGCTGGCGGGGCGCGAGCTGCTGGCGGCTGCCGACAACCTGCAGCCAGACGCCGTGGCCTGCTGCCAGTCGTGCCTGGCACGGCCCGAGGAGTGCACGGGCTGGGTGTATTGCCCGCAGGAGGGAGGCTGTGCCACCCCCGCCACCAACGCCACGCTGGCGGCCACCGCCGCGGCGGTCGGCGCACAGGCGGCGCGGCAGCAGTTGCAGGCGCCCCACCAGGGCTGTCGCCTGCTGTCCCTGCCGGAGTTCCGCCTGGCAAAGGACAGCGCACAGATCGTGGCCAGCGGCCCCAGCGTGCCCTTCACCTCAGGTGCGCCGCCGCCGCCGCCCGACGGGGTAGGCAGGCTGGCGTTTACTGCGGGGGGCAGGGCAGGCTGCCGCTGGCACGCGGCAGCGCAGCCTGCCGCTGCCTGGCGCAGCGGCGCCCGCCGGCCCGCCGGGGGGCGGCGGCGGCAGCAGGCACCACTCCGAGGCGGGGAGTTTGCCCGCGCGCGGCCCTACATTACCATTTATTTAATCCAA